TTAATCCAAAATTTAAATAATCAGAATATTGAAAATCTAGAAACTATTCCTACGTGTTCACATTCGAAAGATAACTTAGATGATGATTTTGAAGATTTATTAATGTCTCATGAAAGCCTTAATAAGAATAGTTCTCAGGGCATAGAAAATTATAATAAATGTGTAGAAATAGAGTATATAATTCGGTCATTTGATAATATAGAGAGATTAGAAAAAGATGCAAATCTTTTGAATTATTGGGGAAATGTAAAGAATAGTATGCCAGAACTTTATAAGTTAGCTATGGTTGTGCTAGCAGTTCCAGCTACGCAGGTATCCGTAGAAAGAAGTTTATACTCTCTGCGCAAAGAACTAAATTAAATCCTGAAATATTAGAAAATATTTTAGTTATCCGTTCCAATTCTCTTTTTAAAAATAAATAATATAAATTTCATTATATTTATGTGTTATTTTATTCCTCAATGTATTTGCGCATGTTTGTGTTTATCTTATTTATGAAATAAAAAGAATTGATTTGTCTAATTTATATTTACTAAGTTTAATAAAAATATCTATAGATTATCATTCATGGTTAAATTAAATAAGAAATTATAAAAAGATTTTTCTCTAAAATTAATATATACATGGTTAATGATTAATTTTTTTTTAAATTAAATTTATAAAAACCGGAACAAACCGAAAAGAACCGTTATAAATTATAAACCGAACCGAACCGATATGATTTTTTTTTAAAAAACCGAAATGGAACAAAACCTTTATAAAATTTTAAACTAAAAACCGGAACGAACCGAACCGTTATACTAAACGGTTCGAAAGTTATAATATTTTATCTTCTCATGTTACCAAAATTTTATTTGAATATTATGATTATAGAATTATAAATTTATAATATGCAAAAAATTAAAAAAATTATGAAGCAAATTATGGATTGGCGGGTGAATTATTATTATGCTTACTAATAATATAAACACATCCTTCCCTCCCCCTATTATTCTCTTTACTGATTTACGTTATATTAAATTTTTAAAAATATTTATTCAAAATTCTTATACCACTTAAACAAATATCATTGGTTTTAATATTCTTAGCCGCCATAGATTAGACCATTTCGGCAAACGGGGCAACTTTTAAAAAACGGGATGATGAAATGCCAGTTACACGTAAGATTATGATATTTATTTTTAAATATTTAAAAAATTTTGATACATCAATTTAAAATAATGCAAATTTTGGTAACGTTTTGGATGTTAATGGCTCTCCAACCTGTATATGCAAAAAATAATCCCAATTGTCCACATGTTTGCCTTATAGGTTGCCCTTTTGGTGACGTGTTGAATGTCAATGACTGCCCAATTTGTGAATGTAAACCAAATCCAAAAATGTTCACCTGTTTGCAGAAATGTTTTATGTTACTAATGGTTGTCCAACCTGTAAATGCAACACTGACCCCGGTAATTTGGCGTCATCGTCCTATCCTTTACAAGGTATCTGCTAAGATGAATTTAATTTAAATTTTATTAATATAAAAATTTTGAAGGCGGGCGGAGTGGAGTTTCGGATGCCCTTACAGCTCGAGTAAATCCAGCGGGTATGAATATTTTTATTCGTAATATGCTTTAATTTTATAATTTGCAGCTGGGTTGATGTGCCCTTCTATTATGTGCTTCGTTTGTCCATATGGAAATAATGGCTCTTGATAATGGTTGTTTAACTTGTAACTGTAAATTGCCCCCAACAAAGTGACAAATTTTTATATGATTTTAAATGTGATAAATTATATAAATATATTATGAATTATATTTTATTATTATACTGACATCGAATATTTTAATTGCGAAACATATGTTATTATAAATATTTTAATAAAATTTTTTTACCAACACATAGCATTTTAGCCTTGTCCTTATATGAGTACGTTGGTATAACAATAGGTTATATTTAGTTCACCAAAGGAATGGCTTAAATATAATTTTTTGTTGTTGATATATTATAATAGGCCTTAATGTATAGTTTATAAATAGAATCATAATATTAATACGTATAAAGTATAAATTGAATTTGGAGATTTTGAGAAAAAATAAAATATTTATCAAGTATATTTATTAATAATTAATAGTACCAGATATCCTTTGAACTTTACAAATAGCATTCAGTATAATTTTAAAAATTTTTGTTATGCTCAAACATTACTCTGTTAAAATTAAGTGGCTATATATTTTTATGAGGCTTAAATTTCAACTCCTACAAAATAATAGTTAAAATTATAAATGAGCTGCACTTAACGTGCCCTGGTCTCTTCCATTGTACATCACTGCTTTAATCACCAAAACCGCCTGCCCTATTCCTAATCTATAAGTCGTTCAAATTATTTATTGTTATAATTTTCACATAGAAGAATCTCGAATCGTCCCTTGTTGGATATTCTATTAACATATATTAATTATTTGTGATTCGCATTCACATTCGCCTTTCATTTTGCTTTAATTATAGTGATATTATATTATTTTTTTTAGTTATACTTTTTCATATTATTGAATATGTGTCATTTCAATATGTTTATTCATTCGCTGTTATATTACTTGATGTTATCTCCCCTGATTATTTTGCATCACTGTTCAAAATTTTTACTAATCCATTTTTTCTCTTTATGTCTTCTTCATAAAATCTGTTTTTCAAGCCTAAAATTTGAAATTAGTACATATTAGGTCTGATGGTTGGGTTTATGTTCTTAGACCACCTTCAGTCTGATGTCCGCATTCTAGCCACTGTCCCCAGTCAGTCAATTGATTATTCCTTGGGAAATCTTTGTTCTTTTTCACATTTCAAATTATTGTTTCTCCCAAAAGTGCAATTCTTATAGCTAAGTCTGTTGCTCGTTGTATATCTTCCCTTGCTAACCTTTAGCAGTAAAAATGATTAGTTTAAATTCCTTTTCTATTTATGTAGCACCTTCAGGGTGCAAGATCAAACTTCACATAAATCCTTAACTCAGCATATCAAGCTAACGAGAGGTCCATTCATCAATTTATGAAAATTTATCGTATTAAATATTTAGATTAGGTAATAAGTCAGGAAATTTCTATTAGTATGAAGGCACTCATCTTTGTCTCTATCATATTACAAGCAAAATGAGTTAATGGAAAAGCAAACGCCTAGATATGAAATATGAATATTGATAAAAAAAAGGCAAAGAACTCAAGTAGATATAAAATATCTGAATATAATAAAGTTGAAAATTTATACTTGTGTAAGTTCAAATGGAATTTTATACAATTTTAATAAAATTCGGAAAATACTATAACTTGTCTCAGCCTATAAATAATGTTATATATATATCTTAAAAACTATTTAGTAAAAGGAAGAAACTTTGCATTATTTTATTTTAGCATAAAGTAATATTTAAAAAAACGACAACCGACACCTTACCAGCTTTAAATCTTATTTTAAACCTTTTCTCTCATTCTTCTTTCATTTTTTTTTATCTTATCTCATCTATTACAGCAATCCCAGTCATAAATGTCCTGGACAAAGATACCCGGACAAGACATAAATACCCAGAGAAGACACAAATAGAAAAATTTTAATAAATTTTTTAAAATGAGAATTAATTTTTTTTTTATTAATTTACTACACAGCTTTAAGTATCTGTTAGATTTTACCAAACGTATTGGATGTATCTTATAAAATAAGTATTCTTCCTCATTCTAATATAGACACTAACTTTATTGCGTAGGCTTAAGCTAACCGCTAAAGTGATACGCGAGCTCAGTCCCTATACCATATCAGACCTTGCCACGAACCGCGTAGCAATATTTAACCAATATCTAAACATTACCCAGTACTTTTTTTAAGAAAAAATATGTGTGAAAATGCACAACGACTGCGCATTATTAATTAAATTATTTTATTAAACTTTTTTCCTTAACATTTAAAAAAAAATTATTATTTTATTTTGTCCGGGTTCTTTATTATGTCCAGTGTATTTTTGCCCAGGTCACTTCTGACCGATTACCCTATTGCAGACAAGTATTCTATATTAAAAAACTTTAAATGTCTTCAACCTTCATAATTTTGTCTTTTATTTATCTTTTTTATAATAATTTATAGAAATAAGCGGCAAAATAAGAGATAGAAAAAAAAATGAACTGGTAAAAATTATTTAAAAATTCACACTTCTTATAAAAAAAATATATATATATTTATATATAATTTTTATAAATTTTTTAGAAATCAATAATAATATTTATTTTTGTATTAGGTTCAGATAATAATTGTGCAAAAAAAATAATTAAAATGATAACAAAGAATAAATAAATTCATTTGTATATAATGCATTTAAAAAATTTATGTCCTTATATTCAAAAAAAGCGGGGTTTTGGCAGTCTTATTTAATCATATACTAATTAATTATTAGCTAGCTTTCTCTCTCGGCGAATCGAAAAAGAGAATAACTATAGGCAATATTTTTAAAATAAATACATATATTTTGGAAGATTTGAAAATTTTTATTGTTGTCAGGATTATATATTTCTTGTACGGATTCTCGTTGAATATTGAATATAAACAGAGTGGGGAAGGAAAGGAGGGGGGGGGGGGGAGAATTCATTTTCTTAATTAATTAATCTTTTGTTTTTAAAAAACAGAAAATGTTTATTTAGTGATTGATGAATAAATATTAAGCATCGGTTAACCCTAAACAGCGCTAAGTAATTTAATCAAACCTTAATTTTTATTTTATTTTTTATACAAAGAAAAATTTATTTTTTAAAAAATATAAAAATAAATAAATAAATTAGGCAAAAAATCGGTTTAGGAGCGCTTTTTAAATAATATAATATATTATTATAAAATATAAGAAAAAAAGGGTGAGACTTAGTGATTATATTTTTTTTAATAAAAAATGAAACAAAAATTAAAATTCAATAAAAAAATTTACAATAATTTTTCGTTCCTGGTTAGTTCTAAGTATGTATTATATAATAAATAAATTAATAAATCTATTATTTTTTGTAAATGTTTTTGAGATATCGTAATCGCAAAGTTTTCTTAATCTCCTTTCTCATCCCATTTCCCCCTCTTTATAATTATTATGCTAAGAAGGATCGGGTTAGAGTGGATGGGGGGAAAATTCGTTCGTTCAGGGCAATACTTTCAATATGATAAGTTTTTTGATTCCGTCCCGCTGACCTATCGCGACTATGGTTCGATTGTCTCGGCTAATTTTGATGTTCAAGATTTCGGTCGATGTTTCGAACGAACACAAATGGCTTCCATCTTCGAAATTCCATAATCTGATCATTTTATCCGTTGAGCCGGACGCCAACAATTTACCGTCCCTAGATAGGTCTAAACACGTCACCTAAAAGAGTTGTTAATTATTGTGTTTTTTTTTTAAATTTTAAAAAAATAAATAAGATAATAGTTGCGTTGCGATATAATTTTGTATAACAGAAATAAAAAAAAATTTGATTTCATTTTGAAGGATTTTCTTATGCATAAAAATTACAATTTTTTTTTACTTATATAAAAGATTTTGGCATTTTTAGGCAAAATTTTGAAATATTTTTGAGATTATTTTTCAGACTCTGAGACAATTTATTAAAACCTATATTTAATTATGTAAATAAAATTTTATAAGGAAATAGGAACTAATTATTAACTATAATTTTTGAATTCAAACTAAAACTTTCTTTATAAAAAAAACTGAAACAAACAATGATACTTAGGTTAATTTAAATGTTATTAAGTTGTATATAAACGAACAAACAATATATAAAAAGGAAAAGCAAATTTTATTGATTTTTTTTATTATTTATAATAACCTGTCCTTTATGCCCGTGGAAGGCTATTTTATGCACGAATTCCCTATTGCCTAAATCCTGCCAGGACTTGATACTCGTGTCCTTCGAAGCTGATACTAGGTACCTACCATCGGGGGAGGCGGTGAGGGCCGTAACAGGCCCTAGGTGAGCACAATTTCCGGCCTCGCGCAAATGACCTTGCTTTTTACCCGTGCTCAAGTTCCAGAGAGTTAATTCCCCTTTGGGAGAACCGGTAGCCGCTCGGTCGGGATTGAGAATCACTACGCATTCTGGATTCGTTACGGTTACACTGAATGCTTTGGAGTCCGTGTTACCGCGTTTAATTTCGCCTAAGTCAACTATTATGACGTTGCACAGGCCTTTTTAAATATTTAATTTCGTTTCACAAAAAAAATAATATTCTAACTTTAATGAATACAAAAAAATAATATTCTAACTTTAATGAATGTAGTTTTTATAAATAAGTCTATATACGGTTTAATAATTACAACTCACATAAAGGGTTAGGGTCCATTCCTTAGAAAGAAAGAAAGGAAGAAAGAAGAGAAAAAAAAGAAAGAAAAAAAAAGAAAGCCTTCTTAATCCTGAATGACTAACATAATTTTATAAAAAAAATACCCCCAGAGTTTCCATCGTCTATAGATTTAACATGTGGAGAGGCTTGTTGGGAAGATTCATAAAACCCTGCTAAAATGTAATTATCGTCAGAGGATTTTCGTAAAAATGCCCGAACATTATTGAGTGGGAAAGTAGGGGTATAGCTGAGTCTTTTGTCAACGGCTCCGCCATTTAATACGTCTAATAGGGTAACGTTAACCTCGTTACCTTTACCCGGAGAATTTTCTTCGAAGGATGTCAGAACAGCTGTTCGTTTGTCATTGAGAAGGGTTAAGGCCGAGAACGAATCTTTGCCATAGGTCATAGTTTTATTTCCAGAATCGATGTCCCAGGTCTTGGTCAGAATATTCAAAAACAAAAATATCAAGTCAAATTTTATATTAATTTTAATAATTTATGCCTATACTTAATATTATGCAACAACATTTAAGAATATACTATAAATGGTTTCAATATACCGTTAACTTTTTCTTGGGGATCGGAGTTGATGATGGTATTGGTTCGCTCAGTGCCAAACCAACTAAGACTCTATCGTTGTTTGAAGCTAAATATAAGTCAGATGATCCTTCCTCTCCTTCTAATATTTTGGATATTTGGCCGGTCTTAAAATAAATTTCAATATATTATCATTCATTAGTGTCATTAAGAAATTCGAAGTAAAATAAATATATATACTTTGAATTGACATATAATTTAACATTTTTTTAATATACTTCTAAATTCCAAATTTGTGGGGGGACGGTATCGGATCCGGTTATAACGTTGAGATTATCGGGTGTAACTATGAGGCTTTCAATGGCCATCATAGATTGAGGAGGGCCTGACAAGAGAGTATCTTCAGGTCTGGAGTTTAAAGTGGCGACTCTAGGTGTCTCGATGAAATATGGAGGCGATCCTTTTAAAATGTATTTTAAATGAATGATAAACTTGATATTATTTGTTTAAAAAAACGATGATTAAATTTATTTACAGCTGCTTAGCTGATATGCTTATTACTCAATTTAATGCCTTCCTATCACCGCATGAGTTAGATATGGTTAAAAAACCAAGAGTTGGTTCCCATCATATTCCATAAATATATGATATATGTCCCTTTAAACTAAAGGACATGTTCGATTCAGGCGTTCGTCCAGGCTTAATAAAGACATGGCCCATAAAAATAGCTAAAAAATGGGCTGAAAGGTAGAAAAAAAACTATAGTTTGAGGTACCGATTTGTCACCCTCTATGCGCACATCGAATGAGGTGGACATTCCATGTCCTTCGCAAGTCAGAGGCAGATTGAGTAAGAAAACAACATAGCAATAGGACTAAAGGAAGGATGATTAAAGACTTTAGAGAGTCTATACTGTAAAAACATGGAGTAACCTCCTACTAAGAAGAACGTCTTAAAATCGATGATGAAGATTCTTACTATAGTTTTACAATTAAAGTAGTATTGTATAGATTTTTAACGGCCCGATTAAAACTTTAGCCACAATTTATGCAAGCATGGAGATTTTACCCATAGATGGAATAAAGGTATGGATCTCGCTAATAAGTAATAAATGGCTGTTATAAAGCAGTTGTTCACTCTTTAAGTTTAGGGAAAATTAATATAAATTCTTAATGTAGATATCTTTATACCGAGGAGAAGAGGAGGGGGTTCAGATATACAAAAAACGTAAATAAAGGATACAAGTTATTATGATTTTATGTGGATTTTGGATTCAAATATTATCATAAATTTTTTTTAAATATGTTGAATATATTTTTGGAATTTATAATATAATTTTATGTAACCATAAAAGAAAATGAATGCCGGATTAACTAGTGAATATAATGCAATATACGAAAGTGGGCATGAGAACCGCGGGGAAGAGCTGATAAATGGGTGAAATTCATGAATCTTGAAGACAGCTGCGAAACCAATCGGAAAATTTAGATAAAATTAAATCTGTAATTGCCTTCTTTACTATAATACACAAAGATGGTCCAACTTTATGGATTAACCTACCTTTGTTTAATGTGTCAGCTTAAAATTCAAAATATATGCAAGCTGAGGTAAACACATGATGTAATGTATAAATCGTTACAAATAATTTATACATGAATTTTCGTAGTCACATTTGATGACTACATATGAAAGAATCTTTCTATAAAAGTTGCATTTTCCTCCTCAAGTATATATTTGAAAAATTGTTCTTTAAAGTAATAGTAAATGTTTTCGTAACTATCTGAACCCGTAAACAACTTATTTAATGGCACTATTAGTCAAAACAGTACATATGATGGTAACGGCACTTATAAATTAAATGGCACATTGGAAACGCATGTTAAATTTTATATATATATATACTATATTGATTCAATCAATGTATTTAATGATATAAGTTATGTCATATTTCAAACAAAATTAGGTATCCACAATGGTATATTATATTAAAAGTGAGGAAACCCCTAGATTAAAAAATGCATTACCGTATGTACGAGTGGCAATATAGAAATAAAAATTGAAAGGTATTCTGTAAAAGATCTAACAAACACCTAAGTGTTTTCGGTATAATAATTAAGGGCATTCCAATGGCTTTAAAGAACAAGCAGTCCAACATAAAATTATCCACACTTTCAGTGAATCAATAATTTAGAAAAAAAATATTTTTAACATGTGATTTACATATAAGAAGAATTCTTATCTATATCTTTTAAACGACTTTTATTTGACTATAAAGTGGGATTCGTAGCATTATCTGATGGAACAATGCATAGGCGTAGCCAGGATTTTGCTAAAGAGGGATGGGGGGGGGAAGCACTAATAGGTGATTTTTTCTCCATAAATTTTATTGGAGATCTGTAGATCCACTTATTAATTTTTATAAAAATAATTTTGGGTCACTTTTTTTTCTAAAAATTTTAAATTATAGTTGTTATTTTAAAAAATTATTAACTTTTACTAATTACTTTTAAATTCTTCTTTTATAGTGATATATTATATTGTATACATTTTTTTGGAGGGGGTGTTTAGGGGGGAAATCTTTTATTAGCTTAAAATGATATTTACGAGAACAGGCAAATTTTAAAAAGGGGGAATCATCCTTGACCCCCCCTTCCCGTCGTACCTATGGAACATTGTATAAGGAGGAAAACTTCCTGCACGAATGAGAAGGAAAACTTAGAGAGGGTTAGCGCTATTGGTGGGGAGAGTCTAGGGACCCTGCCTCAATGATTTATCTAATATATCTTATTATAATAAGATACCACTACTGCCGTCTGTGCGAAATTCCTCGTATCTCGCGTCTTGATCATACATTCTTGTTGATTCTTTAAACCTAGGATCATTTCTTTCTCTCGACGATCTATTAAGGGTGTTGATGCTTTGTATTTGGTAATCATAGCCCGAAGCAGGGCGGGCTTCCTCGTGGGAAGGAGCAATAAATGGTGCCGGACCTTGTAGATAAGATTATTGTAGTGATTCAAGATTTGTAAAATAAATTAGTTGAAATAATCTTTTAAGTAAATGATTTGAAATGATCTTTGTTATATTGGAAATTATATTATTTCGTTTAATGAGTATATAAATCTGACTCGGCCCGGGTACACGTGTCGGGTCGTATTTTAATTTTTTTAAAATATACCGGGGCTGGGCCTAAAAAATTCTTTTAAATACCCGGATCGGGCCAGGCCGGATATTTTAAATTGCCAAAATAACTATAAAAATTAAATATTTTAAAAGAATCCGGGTCGGGCTTGAAAATAAAAAAACCATGGCAGGATAGGGATGGTACTTCCGTAGGTATCTGATGAATAGTAGTGTTCATTTTATATAAACAAATTGTAAAGGTTACTACAAATATAATATTATTTTTTCTTTACTAAGCTATATTAAGTTTGAATTTAATAAAAAGAAATAAACCATGAATCCAGAATTAGAGTGGCTCCACTCGAAATTTTTAGGAATTTTTGAGTTAGGATTAATTAATTACCAACAAAAAACTAAATTTAAAACATATAAATTTTTGGCGTATTGGGGAACTGTCAAAGGGCTATTTTCATAATATATTTTGGCCATTATTTATATCCTTCTATTTTTTCTTAAAACAGTGCCTGAATAATTCATTTTCGAAATAATTTTAACCTTATTCATAATAAAAATAATTAGGTACCTTAAGCAGACATCTGAATAAAACAAAATTTATACTTCTAAATGATGAAAATGAAAATACCCTTAAAAACAGAATATACTCTTAATTTCAATATGCCCTCCCTTCCACAAGCACAAGGTCACTTTCCTCAATATCATTGGATAAATTTCAAAGTGAACATATGAACCAATCAATAATAAAGAAGATATTTTTATTTTCTTAAAATGACATTCACAAAAGATAACATATTTCTGAAGGTTGAGGGGGGGGGGGGAGTAGAATTTCCCCTTGCCCCCCCCCGGCTACTCTTATGGGCGACATGTAAAAGTTTTATGGTTATTATAAATTGAGCATTGGCGCATACGATTCAAAAGAAATATTTGATAAAAAAAACGTATGCAGCTTTGTTCTAATTTAGGCGTTATTTAAAATAATAAATGGATCGCAAAGGTGAATTATGAATTAATATAACCTTTAATATGAATTTAATTTATGTAACACATTAACAAATTAAAACTTTAGATTTTTAGATAGATTGAAATAGGACACCAAATCTAGTGATCTGCATCGGGCCTAAATATCCTTAAGCCCGGCACGAAAAAGCGCGGCCCCAATTTATTTTTAAAAAATCTTTAATATGAACTAAAATTATTCTTAAAAATTAGGCTCACAGATGATCCAAGTATTTTTTGACCCGGGGGGGGGGGGGGGTGTCTTGCAGATCACTAACCACATCTATAAAAAACTTGACATTTTTTAAAATGCAATGACAAAACCATTATTACCTCCCCAATAACCGGGGCCTCTACCATCTCGTCCATATCTAACGACCTTAGTGTATTCTTCGGTTTCTTTTTCAACCCTACCGGGTTGATGGGGCGCCGGAACATTCAATGGAGTTATCAGATGTTGTCTTTCACTCCTTTCCCTATCTAATGCTCTGGTCAAGGCTTTTACACTTGTGTCTAATTCATTAGATAAGTAGGTTTCACGTCTATTATCTGTGGCAGATGAAATGTTTCTGGAAGATCCAAGTCCTGTGGCAACGGTAGCTCCAGTACCTCCTTCTCTTATCATAAATTCTTCTTCCTCCTTCCTCCGAGTTCTCTGCACTTGACTATACATACCTTAATTATTATTTTTATTCGTGTCAAATATTTTGAATATTCCATTAAGAGTTTATTTTTAAAATGCAATTTTTCTATATTTATAATTATCCCAAATGAATAATTCTTAAAAATACTAAAATAAAAGTATATGTACAAAGAAAAACTAAAATTCTATGGTTGTTGGTTAAGATCAAAGATAAAATTTTACATGATTTATTCTCCCAAGATTATAAGATTATAAACATAATTACCAGCATCAGCACCGCTCAAATATCCAACCACAGGTTTCTGTTGTTGTTCAACAACTTGTACATCATGCGAAACGAGTGGGATAGATTTATAATCGCTCCCTATAGCTTTACCGCCACCTCCCCGACCCCACATTGGGCCGGCGCACAAACCGGGTTTGCACTTGTACAGCGCCCAAAGAATTCCAGCTAATAGGGGAAACAAAGCAGCTATGGCAGCTAAAACTGGGCCACCCCACCCTGATACTAGGTGACTCTTGAGTGGTCTAAGTAGGTCTGAAGAGGATTGGACAAAACCTCCAGGAATTATAACGGGTGGTTCTCCTGACACAATGTAGGCCGAGGTTGGTGTAATCGATGGCGAACTACTAAAGGTGACTATCACGGGAGGGATAATAGGAGTGATTATGACGGGAGGGGTAGGAGGAGTTACTATAGGAATTATAGGAGGTTCCGTTATGGGTCTTGGACGATTTATATCGCAAGGGTAGTACACAGAGTAGCCGTCTCTTATGCCAGATTGAGTATGCATACGTATAAAATCTCGTGAGTTGATGCTAATATCTCTAAGATAACCTGTGAAGCCAGGCAAATGAGCGTACTGAGAAATGTTTGTTTCAAATCCACCGAAATGTGCTTGATTAAGAATCAAGTTAGTGCCACCTGGTCTGTCGAAAACTTGAGCTTTAAATACATATACAAATGATTTGTAGGTATTGTTAAAATAACTCGTAAATCTGGTTAATATAAGTTATTGCGATAACGAAGAGTATGATAAAAAAATATCTTCAGAGCAAAAATCTTTGAAGATCTTTTGAAGAAAAGAGACTGATAAAATTTTACCTAAAAATACCAAAAAAATTTTTTAAACTTTTATAATTAAATTTGTTGTCATGCATAAAAAATTCCTTAATAAAAAAAATTTTTATTTTCGAACTAGTGCTAAAAAAATAATTATTTTGATTTAATAGTTCTTTTTTACACGTGATGTGAGGGTAATCATCTAGGAAAACAGATAGATTGTTATTATCGTGTACCACTTTTAACCTGTGCCATCTGCCGTCATTCAAATTATTTCCAAGTAATATTTCCTAATTTAAATTTTGTAAAAAAAATAAGAAAATGATATCTTTTTGCGTGTACATTATAAAGTATATTAAAATTTTGGATAAAAATAATAATATAAATCGAACTTTATGTTTAGTTCCATCTCTCGCTATCACTTTGAGAACTCCGTTCTCTAGCATACCCAATAAATAAGCTTGATTTTCGTTACCGGGCCCAGGAAGAGTGGCAAACAATACGCCGTTTGGATTTTTAGTATTAAAATGCATATTTATCTCGTTTCTGAAATAATTGGGATTAGGATAAGGAAAAATTACTTTCATGAATTGGTTCCCGTTGAATTGAAGAATTCTGCTGGTATCTAGAAAAATTTATCATCATTTATTATTTTTATAAATAATATGGCAACAAATTTTATTCATTATTATATTCTAATAAAAAAAACAAATTTAAAAATATATACCATATCATTACAATTTATTACTCATATAGAAAAAAGTCATATCTTCATATAAATAATCATAATATAAAAAAAATTCTTACTAAATTATGAAAAATTTAAAAATAATATTATTATTAACCAATGCGCAATGGGTAATGGACAGTGTAAGAACTCCGCCTGTTGTTAGCCCAGTCGCACAAGATATCATTATTATCCAATGTGTAATCCTTAATTTCCCCTCTCAGGGGTGCCACATTCTCTTGACTAAAGGCGTCTGTAACATCGGCTCCTAAATAGGATTCATTTATTACCAATGGTTTCATGCCTGGAATATCATCGTAATCTATAGAGTAAACAGATCACGAATAGATTATTTGAATAAATAAGGCAAAATATTCAACTTCAGATATAATGTTCTCCTTAAAATCAATTTAAGAAGGCTTAACTCGACTCATTTAACTTTTATTAGCTTATGATAATTAGCTTAAGGGGTTTCCTAGAAAAACAACAGTAGCGTCAGTAGGAGGAAAGGTACAAGGATTCGAGCCCCATGAAAAATTTGAAGAGTCCCCTAAAAATTTTAAAATTATACGCTACTGTATTTTAGTCAATAAATCAATAATTAGCAGTCGCCAAAAATAGTTGCCCTTCATTGGTCACATTTTTATGTAGGTATATGAATATCAACATAAACATAGATATAATTTTTTTTTTTTAAATCTAGTTAAATTCTGAAAAATAAATTTTAAAAACATATAGAATTTAAAATATTTTCACAATATATATTACTATTTTAAAAATGCTATTAAAATTTTTTTTAAAAAGTATTAAAGCCATGTCCTGGTTTGTCTTATTTCTAAACAGTCGTCTTAGCCATCAATATAGCTTCTAAACAGCTTTATTAGATTTACGCCAAAAGATTATGCGTCTTTGTTTTATTTGCACCGAAGAAATTATGCAAATAATAAATATTTAATTTACAAACTTAAAACAACACAAAATATGGTGCCCTAGTTCAAAATCTGTTTAATCAAACAAAAATAAGTTTTGAAAAATAAGATACGACTTATTTCCAAACATCTCGGCTGTAGCTTCGACTAAACCGTTTAAAAAGTAAATTTAAAAAACAATAGAAAAAAATAATAGGGTAACATGGTTCAAAATTAGCCCAAAGTTACTATAAAAAAAAATTTGTTGTTTTTAAACTTGTGCTCCTTTCTCTGTCGTCGACTATCAACTCTGTTCCGTGACCTCTTTGAACGATTCGGACTTTGTGCCAGCGATTATCGTTAAGACCTGCCCCGGTTTGTAATGTCTAATTAATTTTAGATAAACCATATCCAAAGATTAATTTTAAATCCTACCTAAAACTCAAGTAATGCAAGTATAAAATATTTTTATTCCATATTATGGTAATGCAAAAGTCTCCTTATTTTTATCATATACCAAACAATTTACATTATTTTTTTCAAATTTTGATCGTAATGTAAGAGAAGAATGTTTATAATTTAAAAATATTATTTCCTGATAGTTTGGTTAACGGTTAGATTTTTCAAAAGTGCTCAAAAAATATTACGCAAGATAAAGATTTAGCCCATAGATGGCAGAAAACGGTTTGGACAACTATAACCGAAATCTTGGGGCTTGCGTAAAATTTCTGCTAAAAATTTTTACCGCTTTTAAAAAATAGAACCGTTTAACAACCCTAGTTCCTGAGCTATAACAAAAGTCTGTTTTTAATTTTAAAACTGCATAATAATTGTGAAACTATTTTTAAAGGTGAAAATATTGTGAAAAAAATAGATTTTCTTTTATAATTTTGAAATTTTTACCTATATGTATTATTTATAATATTTGTGGAGAAATTTTTTTAATTAACTTCAAATGTTATTCCTAAAACAGGTAAATTTGGGATGAGGTGATTTCTCCTCCCAACCCCCACGGTTACTCCCCCTTACTTAATTTTTTTTAAAGTAAAACATAGTTAATATATATCCCTTATTAGTAAAATCTTCTGTAAATTATATCTATTTGGAGACATTGCATAATCAAAAACCTTATCAACTTTCCTCCCATTTCCATCTTGATATCTAGTCACGAAATTGAGCCTACCAGCTTCATCCAGGTATAGCAATGCATTACCCCTGTCTCCACCAGGCTGTTTATCGCTAGTAGATAAAATGGCTGTTTTTCCCTGCTGACCAGTTTTGAAGTGAAGTTCTAAATCTCGGTTGCCTACCAAATTGGACTGACTATTTTGGGGGTGTATAACTTTGGCATATGTGGTTCCATCGAAGGTGACGAGGCATGGTCTGGATGGGGGTGGGGCTGGTGGAGCCTTGGTTTGAGGAATTGGAGGGGGTGGGCGGGGAGGGGGGTAATAAACGGGAGGGGGAGGAGGTCTGTAAATTATCTTTTGTTGTGGGTAAGGAGGATCTGTTAATTAATAGAAAATATAAAATCCCATATAAAGTACTTAAAATTCAACCATAGTTTTAACATAGAAACCTTTAAACTCGAAAATGTAGAAAAACATGAGCTCCTAATAAACTATATTTTATGATGCCTAATACATTATATATCTTACAAGTTTGTGGTTGTGATTTAACAGGTGGGGGAGTAGGTCTGGGCTGGACATAGCCTTTGGTTGGCGGGGCTTGGGGTGGAGGTTGATATTGTTTATAAATATGCTGGTTATATTGAGGCGGATATGGCTGTACAGGGCGAGGGTTGTATACAGGAGGTTGGGGTTGTTGAAAATACTGTTTTTGAGGTGGAGGATGTGCAACTGGTTGTGTAGGAAAAGCCATCTTGATCCAATCTGTGGATAGATCAACCCCGTCGCATTGAGGGTTTTTGACTTGTCCTACAAAATTGTCCATACCTCCGGTATTGTAGCCATTGTAACCTCCTCCGATGTTTTCACTAGCGCCGACAAGTATTTGATAAATATTCGGTACTATGTTAGGTGGAAATTGATGTTGGAAAGGTCTTTGAGAGGGATAATTATCAGTTTTGAGCGTTATAACATCATTTTCCCGCGTTATTATTATATCGTGCCAATTTCCATCGTTTAAGGTAACGTCGGAGTATATGGGCTTGCGAATAAAATAAAAAAAAATAGAAATAAATATATATTTTTAAAGTTTAAATTGCAAAAATGAAATATAAGGATTTTTTACATATTGTTGCCCCTCGTAAGATATGATCAATTTAGGTTTTCCACTTTCCGCTTCCAGATTCATTCGTACCGGAGAGTTTGGGGATGAGATCGACATGATTCCACCGCTAGGTCTATTAGTTCTGACTTGGATTCTGATAACATTGTTTGTGGGATGAAATTTGCGGTAATCGTCCAACTTTTTGTAATAATAAGTTCCATCGAACGCAAACACCTTGTAATGCTCCCCTTGTTCCCAAAAATGAAATTTAAAATATTTGATTATGATCGTTAAAATTTTGTCAAACTGTATTTATTTTAGAAAAAAAAATTGATTTTACAATATCTTATAAAACTTTAATAAGATTTATCCATACTTTTATCCATAGTTGTATCATGAGATATAGACGGGTAGACAACTTGGGAAGATGGAATTGGCGGGGTTCCTTCCCTATTTAAAAATGGCATCCCATTAACGTACAAGTGCTGTATCGAACCCTGAAAGTAAGAATTGGGGACTTGTTCGCTGCCACCGACTTGAATGGATTGAATTGTCATGGGTCTAGCTGAACTTCCATATATATCAGCATCTGCATATATGTTAAGAGTCATTGGTCAAAATAATTCATTATTGTAAAATAAAACTATAAATTAATATCTATCCTATGTAACTGAAGTATCTAACACTCCCTAAATATAAATATTTAAAGATTTTGTTCGATAGGGATTCAATAATCAGCCAGCCGCATATGCTTTAAGGAAGAGATTTTTTTCGTTATATATTTTGAAAACAATTTTGTATTTTACTTCTGAAAGTTTCTTCGTCAATTTGGACTTTAACGTTAGGACCATCTTTTCTGAAATCAACTTGATGCCATAGTCCATCTATGTAAGAATTTCGGGATGATACAGTCTATAAAATGAAAAAAATTTACAATAAATTTCATATTTAAAAGAATTGGCTAACGTTGGTTAATCCATTATTGACGTAGCTGACTTTTAGTCTACCATTTTCCAAGAAGATTTTCAAATTGTCGGCCGAAGTGCAGTCGGCGAAAAGTACTATGCTATTGTGGGATTGTTTGGTTTTAAAACGCAAAGCTATTTCGGTCGTTGACGAAGTAAAATTACTGGGCAAAATAACTTTCATTAACTGATTGCCGTCCAGGTCTAATGTAGGGGCGACTTTATTTTTTTTAGCGGGAGAGGAAAGGGAGTGTATTTAAATAAGATATAATTTGTATTTTATCAAATTTAATGAGAATATGTCATAAAAGAATGAAAAGTGTATAAATAAAGACGAAAATCCGTGGGGTGAAGCAATATTGATCCAAACTGAGATTAAACTTATTGAAAATCAAGGATTTGGTAAATAATCCACAGTTAATCAAATTTTATTCCCAAAATCTAATAATAAAAATACAACAATTCCAATAAAATATAAGAAGTATTAAGTGATGAAATTCTCATTTTAAACAAGTTCTACTGAAGTAACCAACCCGCGTCTTTATCAGCTGGTACTAAAAACCAACATGAGAATGAACCAAAAATCGTTTAGATCTTTCATAGTATTAAGTAAGTTCTATACATTGATAAGAAAAAGATTACCAAAATTATACAAATATGAAAAGGAGCGTAAAAATATATTCTTTTTTTTTTTGTAAAATAACTTTTATATTTTTCTCATTATTTTATTATACTGAAAAAAATAATTTGCATATAATTTACCTTCACGACAATTAGCGCCGGCGTAAGGGGTTAATGAACAATCGCAATAGGTTCTATTCCAACCTAATCGGATAATTTTAAAAATAGAATATAATTTCATTATCAATAAAATATTATTCTTTTTTTTCATAAGTTGTGTAGCGATTAAAGATATATATTTAAACACTCTATTAGCATTCTATCATAATTTCAGTTGTGAATCCATGTTGCTTTTTAACTTATATTTTTAGTTTTACAAGATTTTAAAATGTGTAATTCAATAAGATAAAAATTAAACTGCCATAAGTCTTCTTTTTTTTAAAAAAAAAAAAAATTAATATTATGAAGAATTAAATTCCACGATAAATCAACAAAAATAACATGATTTTTGGCTTGATCCCTTCAGATTTTACAAACTTTAAAAAAATGTAGAATTTTTAATTTCAAACTCCACTCCTAAACCGAGATATGGACGCGTGCAAAATGTTGCAAAATTTTTGAATTTTAAAATGCGCATATCACCGAAAGTTGTTGAACTAGTAAATCATTCACTCTTTAATGTGTAAAAATTTAATTGCCGAAAAAGAAAATATTAAAGCAAAATACTGAATAAAAACTGATATATAATGATATACAATCTCCTAAGATTCAATTATTTTTTACCTGGCAAATGTTCTGCTTTTACTGCAGCATTTTATTCTATATAAATTTTAAATCACTAAAGTTAAAGCCATAAAATTTGGCAGGATGATTCGTTATCTATAACGTATTTTGTGAAAAAATAGTTGTTAAATTGAATTTTTTAAAAATTTTGAGATATCTATAAAAATTATCTAACTGAAGAGCAATATTTAATGTTTATCTTATTAGTTATACTTATAATATCACAACTGAAAGAGATTTAAATAATCCAAATGTCCATACAATCAATAATGCAAATAATGAATATTTAAGAAAAAAAATCATCATAAAATTAATAATATTGTTTTTATGCACTAAAGATTCTAATTGGAATCAACAAAAAAAAAATTTTTTATTTCATGTTTAAAATCAATATAAAATTATTAATCATTTTTGTATTATAATGATTTGCATAAAATTTATAATATTCAACAATAATTCTCATAATTATGAAACATTGAATAAATCGAATGAAACTGATTATTTATAAAATAATTTTTGTATTAAGATGTAAGAAAAAAATAATTAAAGATTTAATATATTAGGAGTTTGGCGCGTTCTTCTCTCGTCTATGACTCCTAAATTTTAAAAACTTTTCTTATTTTTCCATTAATTTTTCTAACTATTGTGACATTCAATCAGGTAAAAGGAAGGAATGAATTAATTTTTTTTATATATTACTAACCTGGTCATGCCCATATTTTATTTATAATGTTATACGATGCACTGGGCTATAGTCATGAGAATGAATCTTAATGTGTACTTTGAGAAAATCTGAGTCATTTTTAAATTAATCATTACTTGAGAGCAGGTTTGAAAAAAAAGAAGTAAACAACAATAATAATCGACAGGCGAACAAATGAATAATAATGTTAAATTTAATGGTTTTAAATAATTTAAAAAATTATTTAGGACAATGCTGTAGTAAAGAATGAAATGGACCATTTTTGTCCAATTTAGATGAATGATAACTTTAAAATCAGTAGAATCCTCGATCCTAATTTATTTTTAATATATGTGAATCGTGATTAGAAGAACTATTTATTATAAAGAAGAAAAAATAAAGTTTCCCTTTCTTTTTATACTCACTTCCGGTTTGTAACTTTCGATATTTTCTTTATAAATTTTTTTATAAATTCTACTTAAGCTACTAGAATATATTTGAATGAATATTCTAGCCTCAAACGACATCCAGAGATATTTGCATTTTTAAATTCAAATAAGTTGAAATCTAAAATTTTATATTGCTCTTAGTTTACCATAGGTATTATCAATACACAAATATTTTTTATTAACATAAAAATTTGAGGAAATCAGGCCGGAAACTCTTGTTGATTTGTCTCCGAATAAATAAATATCATCGCCATTTTTATATTTCATACGAGAAAATAATATTTTAAACCTTCACGACAAGACCCGCTATTGTAACAAGCCGTTCTGGTACATCTGGGGGAAGGAGATCTGCAACTATCAACTCTATAAATCTTAAGTCTACCCGAATTCAAATGGTCTTCGTTAAATGTGGGTGTAGATGCTTTGTTAATTACAAGATTTTGAATGCATCCTATGAAGCTATTGGTCGATAAAGTTGGCAGTGAGGATCTTGAATCAAAAAAAAGAAAGAAGAGTTTATAATTCAAGCAGCATTTGAGTGAAGGTCAAATTTGTTTAAAATAATTAAAAGAAAGTAGAGTCCGGTCAAAAATATATTCAATTTATAAGGATATTTAGTTCATCAAGACTTCATATTACATTTATATTTTAAAAAAAAATCCATAGTTAATAAAAAAAAGCAAATAAATTACTAAGTTAACAACAAAAATCTAAATATGCTCATATAAAGGTTGCAAAACATCTGGGCATTATAATCTAAAAATTATAGTATCAACTATAGTTTTATAATATTACTTGGCAGTGGGGCTTTTACCGCCAATATAGATGTTACCATAAATCATCGGCGATGAAGTAATGCGGAATCTTAATGGTGGCTGATCGGATACTTCTATATTGATAGACGAATCAGTTAATTCATATTTGATGTTGGCCAATCTAGACAAAGGCAGGGCATATATCTCGGATCTAAAAATCAAATATTTATAATTAAATTATAAGAGATAAAAACAGGAAATCTGTTTTATTCATTCATGAGTAAACAATTTACTATATTCTTATATAAAATAAAACTCTCTAAAGATTAAAACGAAATTAGTTTTATTCATTCTTGAGTTAACAATTTAATTTATTCTTATATCAAATAAAACTCTCATTACAAATTGTTTAAAAGCATAAAACCTGTAAGTTTGTCCATCATCATTATAAACAACGTAAAGCCTATGGTTGAATATCTCCAAACAAACAGGCACCGAACTATCATCGTAAAGTAGTATTCCTCTGGGTTCATTGGTCATCACCTTCATGGACACAATTCTACCGACTTTCCCTCTCCTTATTTCAGTGGTGCCTTGATCTTCCATACCATCCGCCAATTTTTGGAATGCTTCAGGGGATAATGTTAAGTAAGTGGTTCCGTCTTTACTCCATTCGTTAAAGGAAAGCGACTCGCCGACGTTATCGTCCAAGGAATAAGACGAAACGTCTAAATGCTGCGGCGAGTTTATATCTTGGCGAGACAAATACCTCAGAGTTCCGAAAACTTGAACTTCGGGTTCGCGTCTGATAAGTGATTCAACGGGGTATATCTTCACCTTGTCTGAGGTTTCCTTGGTTATCGTAATCTTTTGTTTTTACATATTGGTTTATAGAAATTAGAAATATCTTTTTTAATTCAATTAATTGAGGTCTCAGAGAACATTTCTGCAAAATGTACATAGTATAGTATTTTGATGTTTAGTTATTTATTGTCCATAATGATATAACAGATCTTCCTAATATGGGAAAATTAAGCGATCATCTAAATAATATTAAGAGTTCGTAGAAAAAAATTTAGCAATAGAAAATTGTGATGACCTCTGTCTGTAATCATTTTAAACTTGATTTCTACCATTGAGAAGTGGGAAGAGGGGGGGGGGGATTAATATGCAAAATCGTCATTGAAATTGAGGGGTTTTGATTAGGATTTTCTTTTCTTGATAGTTTTGATTTGTAAAGGGAGGTAAGAGGTAAGAAGGGGTTGAAGGGTAAAACGTAATTGGCTGGGGGAAGGGGGATATTATATATTTTGAATGCAACATGTAATAATATATAACTTCGTAAAATGTGCCATTAAAATGTTCGGTTTTCGTTATCGATCGGTCTCCAATGGGTCTATTGGTTCCACCAAAGTCGAAATAAATTTCTTCGTTATGACTCAAAGGGGTAAACTCGGAAGGTAACTCCTTCTGTTGCACGTATTGATTGTCTATGCTCATCATTACCTTTCATTTTGTATAAAAATAAATACAAAAATTTTAACTTTGTCGGCCTGGAGATTAAATATCTCCCTGATCATTTTTTTTTACTAAATGACAAGTATTTCTAGATATATTTGACATTTATAAATTATTAACCAATCAATTCCTAAAAATCATCAAACACCTATGTAGAATTGTTTAACCTTTTTTTAAAAAACGGCTAACTCTAAATAGTAGCCAAAAAATATTGCGCAAGCCGAAAGATATAGCTCATAGGTGGCGAAAAGTTTTAGACATCTGTTAGCGAAATCTCGAGGCAATTATTGTTTTGAATATAATCTTAATTTCGCCATTTTTAAAAAATCGGCTAAAATGGAGTCGTTTAACAACAGTACGTCCACTAATAGAAATATATTTTAAACTGCTTAAAGCATTCCCTTTTCTGTATAAACCCTTTTAAATCTATAAAACATTTTTAAAAAATAGATGTCCAAGCCAAGAGATTAAGATCCAAGGAAATCAATATACATTTTAAAATAACTTTATTTCCGGTCTTTTTGACACTGATCTGGTGCTTAGAGGATGGCATGATTTCGTAGCCAGGTGGATACAGGATTTCCAGCCTAACTTGTCTTTTCCCGTAATCGGTGTTGATATATAATATCGCATTTCCGTCCTTTATAAAAATTTTATTTAATTTTTACAAACTTTAAAAATAATTAATATTAGTTAAATGATATGGGCTAATATAATTAGAATTTCTTCCTACACATCATCGGATGAGTATCATAGGGTATATCCATTTTTAAAAAATTGTTCAGGAGAGCTTTTAAAAAGATATATTTCTTGTATTATAGGAAGATTACAATGTAATAATGTAAATAAAGGATTTATTATGAATTACATCTTAACATTTTTATTGTGTAAAGTGGTTATAGAAAAGTTATATATTACTCCGCCGACGAAATGTCGTTGGGGTTTAGAAAAAAATCTAAGTTTTTCGCAAGTATTTAAAACTTGAATTTTTTTCATTCATGAAAGACATGATACTTGTTTAAATAATTTTCCGGGATTATACCAACCATATGAATTTCAGAGAAATTTGGCGCGAACTTCTTAAATCCTTTTAATTCGTTTTAATTTTTTTCCAAATATTCATGATGAAATTATCTGAATTTCACAGGGTAAGATACAATCTATATACGTTGGAATACGATTTCGGCAAAATCAGATTTTTTGAAATAATTTTCACAAATTTTCTAAGCTCTTTACGACATATTGTACTTATAAATTTTTTTTACTTCTAATTTCAAATACATATTTTCCACGTCTCTCCCCGCGTAAAATAAGAAGCCATTCTTACTCCTAGCTTGAAAATCGATAAAAATTTCGAAATCTTGCGATAACATGTGAGGGTCCTTGGATGTATATCTGATGAACCTATATTTATTATTTTTCGGAGAAAAATATTTGGTGTTTTTTTATTAAGAATTTTGGTAAATTATACTTGCACTCTACTATTAGGACCTATCCTGTACATATTAGACCAGTGTTTTAGATGAGTAGAAAATTACTTGAATTTTGACTAAAATTAATAAATTCCTCAGATTTATTAATACATTTTAATCTTTAATCTAACGGTCCCCACTCACCTACTATATTTGCAATTTTCAAACAAATGTCTGTGTGAAGTGCTTTTCTAAAAATACATTTTCTGAAGTTTTCTATTGAATCAGCAAGATATTGATTTTATAAAACATAACCAAAAAAAATAAAGAATTTTGATTTGAAAAAAAAATAATTGCAAATCAAAATTTTTCCGATGGATTTAAATAATGCCAAATTATTTGAATCTGGTATTTTAAAATTATATAATAATAAATAATATTACAAGAAAGAGAAACAATTCATTTTTTTTAAATTGAAAAGATAACGAAATTTTAGAAATATTGCAACCTTCAATAACTAATAAACTTTATTTTTTAATTAAATCAATTTCTCTCTCATACAGTGTTTTAGTATAAATCTAATTAATAATAAAAACTAATCATATTATTATGATCTACTACTCTTTTCTTTTTCTTTTCATAAATTGGTTGAACCCAAATTATATGATTATACTTGAATAATATAATTTTACAAATTAATATTAATATTAATATGTACTTAATTTTTTAATTATTTATTATAGTTAATATACATGTTTTCATAATGAAAAATGGGGAATTATTAGCATTTTTTTTTAGAGGAGAAAATATTATATCGCACTGTTATGTTATCGAAAGTTCAAGATTAAATTATAAAATTATGAAAATATACTATATGGATTATTTAAAAAAATATATATATTATTCAATATAATTAAAGAAACAATATATTAAAATTAACATAATGATAAAATAGAAAAAAGATTATTACTTACAAATTAAGGTATAACTCGTCCCAATGTGAAAAATTTTTAAAAATATTCAAGCCGGGCCTTGGGCTTAAATTTTTAATAAATAATTTTTTCTGTAGAGACCATTAGTGATTTCTTTTTATTTTTTATATAAAATGGGTTAGATTCATATCTTAATTCAAAGCCGGGCCGGGTTTGTCTAAAAATAAATTTAAAAAACCAGGTTTGACTTGTGCTGAATTCATAGTAAACGGATTACGTTCAAGCGTTTCATCCTCTCGAAATAACGATAATATTTAATAAAATATATCTTCTGCTTTATAACAAATATTTAATTAAAAATAATCTTCTGCTTTTTAAAAAAAATTGTTAATAACAACCTAATAATGTAATTTCGCTAATTATTTTTCTAATCGTATCTCAAATTTTTTTATAAGCGCATCACAACATATCTTTTTCAGGTTTCATATTTATAAATTATACCTATATTTATTGGCCGGATTTTATAAATAACACACCGCTTGAACATAACGTGTTTACTATAAATGGAGGCCTTATACTTTAGCAAAATTGAGTTTGCTGTGCTCTAAGTTAAGTTATTTGATTTTATAAAATCAAATGAATATTCCTGGTTTATTATACTACAATAAAATCTCCCAAGGTCATTATAGATGTAAAGTAAATAGTCGCGAACGCGATTTCATCGAATTCGAGAGCTTAAAAAAACAAAAATTTTTTTTACTACCAAATACAGTTTAGCATTTAGACAAAATTTAATAAATTGGTGAACATAATGGAACTACTATGCAAGTTGATTATATTAATATTAATATATTCTATAAGCGAAGACTTTTGACGGTCATGAGCGAGAATCAATAAGGTGGCCTTATAAAATTTCCTATAATTTACATAAGCTTTAAAAAAAAGAAATTATAAAATATCCAAAATAGGTTATGTCATTTTAAAAATAAGATTCGTGAATAAACAGGATTAAGATTATAAATTAGGTAATTTGTTATAGTAAAATATAATTAATGCTAAATTAGGTAATATTTAGCTTAAATTGATATCGATGTTAATATTTACGCTTTAAATTGTCTAAGAAAAATTTTTTTTTGGTGGCCTTTAAAATATTTTCAATCGGGGCAGACTCACCTATTAGGATACTAGTCCTGATATACTATATAGATCATAGACAAATTGTATATTTTGGTTAAAACTAAACACTTTTTAAGAAGTCTTAAAATATTATGAATTTCTTTTAAAGGCCATTTTCTTCTTCCTTTTTTTTTTTCAACAAAGAATAATTAATATTTAAGGCATAGGCAATAAGGAAAATAAAATAAAATAAAGTTACATTGAAATCGATATAATATATATATAATAATATAAATTATAGATATATAATAATAAATAAATAGAATATATTTATATTATATTTTTTTTTAAAAAAAAAGCTTAGTGAATTGTTAACCTTGAGATTGGCCGAAAAAATTTTTTTTTAAAAAAAATACAAAAAATTTAAATTATACCATATTACATAGTTTGTTTAAAATTTATTAAAAAAGGCGAATTTTAATTAAAAATTAAGTTAATTAATCTTTTCGTATAAAAGGTAAGATTTATATTAGTCATTTTCTTCAAAAAAATAAAAAGATAGATATTGTAGAAACAGATTTTAATAGTGTTGTTAAACGGTTCGATTTGAGCCGATTTTTAAAAACGGCTAACTCAATATTTTAGCCAGAAAAATATTCCCTAAACCTCGAGATTTCGAATATCTAGACCTTTGTTCCTTCTATGAACAAAATCTTCAGGCTTGCGTAGAATTTTTCTAGCTACTAGATTTTAAAATGTTAAGTTTTTCTTATCCTAATTTATTTATTTCTTTCCTTCTTTTGAAAATATAAAAGTAAGAATTGATTAATTAAAATTTAGGAGATAATTAAATATTAAAAAAAAAATTCCAAAATTTTTTAAATTTTTCTTTAATAAACAAAAAAAGTAAATATTTAAAATTTAACTGGTTATTGAACTATTTTCTTATATTTTACATCTATAAAGCTTACACGAATTTAAATTATAAAGATAATGTATTAATTTTCTACCTGATTTCATTAAATGTAATAATTAATAAATTTAATTTTTCTCTTTAGCTTAGGTGTTAATTTAATTTCCAATTGTTAAAAAATAATTCCTTGCAAATTCATTTAATTAAGATAGTTTTGTTAGAGTAAATATTTTTCTTTCTTTCTTTCCACCCCTTATATTTAGTAGATTATTTTCATTCAAACTTGGTCTTAAATGTGATCAATATCATTGTGGTCAACTTTATGCCTGGATTTTAATTTAGAAGATTATACAGGTTTGCTCTTACTACTCTTAGGTTTTACCCTATACTATAATATTATATAAATAACATTATTATTATTATTTGGCTAAAATAACAATTTGTAATATTAAACCTTCAACTTCACTTCATAAAGAAAGTGAAGAAATATATAATTTTTTTTTATAATAATTTACAGATGTAAATGCACAAACTACTGTAAAAAAAAATTAATAAAGAGGATCAAGAAGATTTATTATTATTATAACATATACAATTATTTTGATATTTGAAATATAAGGGGGGGGGGGTATAATTATAATAATTTTATTCGCCATTCTCCAATAATCTAAAAGATATTTAAAAAGTACAAAAACAAACAAGCGAGATTTTCTTAATTAAAAAAAGAAAAAGTTTGATTTATAATAATAAGAAATCTCCTGGTGAAAAAATCATTAATAGAATTATAGGATGGAAAATAATAATTAAAAAAAAAGTGAGTATATAATTTGTTTTTTTTTTCGGCAAAAAATCTTCAAAAGAGTTATATGAAGATTTTGTTTTCGCCCAAAAATCTTGAGCAAAAATATTTCAAAGTTCAACCAAAAGTTGAAGATTTTTAAATCATTATTAAAATTTATGCGTACAAATCACAATTGATCTACTTATAGAAGATTTTTTTTACGAAAAAAAATTGGAATTTTAGGCAAAATTTGAGTAAATCTTGCTTGAGCTTTCTCATAAAAATCTCCATAAATAAATCTTCATTTTCTTTATACATTTCAGAAATCAAAAAAAACTTCTTATAGGTGCACACAAATTAAGCATTTAGGTTTTTCCAGAATTTTATAATTAAAAAAAAAAGTAATGCATCCCTTGTATATCAAAATTTTAAATAAGTTCTAAAAAAAGGATTTGTCTTTGAAAATTATATTATCGTCTGCCTTCTTATTTTTTTTTATTTTTTAATATTCCTTTACAGGCTATAAGTAGGATATTTGTATTGCATTCATTTTATATAATATTACAACGCGAAGAATAATAAAAAAGTAATGAAAAAGCAAATCTATTTGCGTTTTTTAAATGGTTTAACGCTGAACGGTAATTTTACCAATTTGCATGTGGCCATTTGAAATGCATTATTTGCGCTTGTAACGGATCGTTTGAAACGTTCAATTTGTGTGCACTACTAAATAGGTTTATCTTATTTTAATCTTCTAATTTTAACCTTGACTGATGGCTCTAGGTTTTTTTTTATTATTGTTTTTATTATTACAGAATTACTATAAAATCGTATTTAGGATAAGATTAAGCCATATTTTTCACGTGCCATAAGTTTAAAGTAAATCTCTTTTTTCTTAAAAAAAACAAATTTTTTGAGTCAAAACCTATATTGTCACAATTCTATATAACATTATTTTTTTTATTAAATTTATCAAGCCTTTAAACTGATCGGAAATAAATTCCTATTTACTGTTTTGATTTTACTCCCCAATTTCTATTGAATCCTCTAAGGCCTGATATGGACTAAGGTTAGTTGTCCTTACGAGATTTTTTGAGATCAGTTAATTACCAAATTTATGTATTATGTATTTTTAAATAAAAAAATCCATTTACCCATTGTTGATGAAGCTGATTCGATATGAATTCCTAGAATTTCTTAATGCGTTTCGGGGATGAGGAGGAATTTGGCCTAAAATGAATGCGTTTGAAAAACAAAGCATAAATATTCATTTTTTTCAAACAGATAAAAAATAAATAAATCTCTTAAATCATGTTGATATTTTTTTAAACCTCACGACATAATATATAATTTTTTGGTTTAAAATTTGAACATAATGAGTGCTGTTCAGTAGTGTCTAAAAGGATAGCACGCTGGTCATTACTTATTATTTCTTTCTTTCTTTCCTTACTTCCTTCCTATTATTTTCACTTCTCTTCTGCACATTTGATCAATTCGGTTTCACAAATCTCTCCCTTCCAATTTCAACCTTAAATATTATAATGTAATTATATATTTTGCTTTTAAAATTATAAAATGTAAAACAATTATTTGCAGATGTTCTTTTCAATAATTTTTTTTTTCCTAAAAAATATCCAATATGTGTCAGGAATTGTTTTCAATGTTTAAGTAAATTTTTAAAATTTAGATTATATACTCTAATAATAACAAATTTTATTTTACATCATAAAAACTGTATCAAGGTTTCTATATTAACAAGAATTTTAATTCGTGGAAAAAACTTTTAAATTTTATCGATTTATTTTATTTTAATTGTCAAAAATATTTTTTTACCACATATTATCATTACCATCTTCTATTTATTTTTTTATTTATTGTAGTAAATTGACTGTTTTATTTTTATTTTTAACATAATTTACCAATAAATGGCCAAACTGACTCAATTTTTCTTAAGATAAATAAGTTTTTGGTAAGATTAAGGATTTCGCCAAATGGAATGTATTTTTTTGAAAATCTCAATTTGAACTTGTAATTAAATTATAAATTTGTTTCATAGAACGGTTTTTCAAAAAGGCCAATGAGAGTTTGATATGAAATGTAAAAACTTTATCAAGGTCGGAAATCTAATAAAATTGGTATATGAAGCAAGTCTTACGGTTAGAAATTTTTGCATAAATGTTAGATATCATTTTTTTAGCTTGAAAACAAAATTTCTAAAACGCAACACGATATTTAATTTCGACAAAAAAAAATTAAGGGTGGAATAAATATATTTGGACAATTTAACGACATAATTTATTGTTAAAAAAGCGAGATAATGGAAAAAGTAATATCACTTAAAAGTCTATCTAGATTTTTATAAAAAGCAAGGATTCAACTGCTTTCAGGTTAAAAACCATCATCGCATACTACATTTAGTTCGGAAGTAAAATTTTTTTGGGTAATATTATTGGCATAATAAAAAAAAAATCCTCTCGAAAATCATTTCCATTTGATAAAAAGGGTAAGCGGATCATAATTTGGCATAAAGAGGGAATGATGATAAATAATACCTCGCACGCCTTTAAAATATTTTCTTAACGAAAAATAATTTATTGCTGGGTAGCGGGGGGAGAAACAATAATTATTATTTAAAAAATTCCTAATAAAGATAGATGTTATCTTGTTAAAAACCCAATATTTTGGAGAATTTTATGATTTGCTTGCCTTTTTATAACGAACAACCCGAGTTATTTGAGTAAAAAGTTCCTTGTTTACAAAAATATCGTTTATAAATAATGTAAAAAAAATACGTTTATTTGCTCATCAATTGATTGGGCCAGCTGTGGAAGTGAAAGAAACATGATTATTTATTTTAAGGTTAAATAATTGGACTCATTTTTAAAGCCAACTACAAATTTGGCTTAATTAATTTAAAACTTTTGGACCTGACATAGACGTATTAAGAATTTTGTTAAGGAGGTAGAGGGTGAGGGGGGGGGGAGTGTACGGGAATTTTTTTATTAATTTAAAATGATATTTACGAGAACAGGCACATTTAGAGTGATGGGGAGTTCCCCTCAGCTGACCCTTGGTTAAGCGTCTGACTTGACCAATTTCAAATGTATCTCCAAAATGCCAAACTTCAATTAGAACTAAATTTAGAATATCTAAATTTTACCCTCGACCACCCTCCCCCCTTCTCCTACTAACCCAAGCGAAAGATGATAATGGATTTAATTTTATATATTTATTTGGTTCATTTTTTATGAGAGTACAAGGCAGTGACCGTTATTAATAAATTATTCGCATTTTAATAGCTTCTTTAATAGATATTATTATAATTATTGCCTTTACTAAATATACCAATAATATCGGACTTTATTTTTTTTTAAAAAAAATATTTACCAAGACACCGCGCATCAACCTTGGTTAAAAAAAAAAATTATTTTAACAATTTTTTAAAAAACAAAATTATTTATCTCGCCTTGAAAAACCGTGGAAATTAATTTTATCAATTGTCACATAGCGACAAAAAAAGATATGGAAGAATTTGTATGTTAAAAAAAAGAAGGAAAAACCATGTCAAAATAATTATTATTTTTAAATATTATTTTTTTTAAGATGCAAGATCAAATTTATTTTTTTTATCTATTGTTTCATTTGTAAGAATTATTATTTTTTTTTTAAATATAAGTAAAATAAAAAAAAATTAGGTTTATATTATGACAGTTTTTAAAAAATCATAGAAGGATTTCATTTCTTTTTTCTCAAACTATTTTAGACCTATTCTTTATTGTCTTTTCTTTCCTTAGACTTTCTCGTTTTAACTTCTTTTTTTAACATATATTATTGGGACATCGTTTAAAATGATCCATTATCATTAAAACTGAATTTAATCATTTACAATTTATCGAGTGAGGATTAGGTGTCAATCCTTATGAATTTCACACACCCAAAACTAAATTTTTGAAATTTAAATATTTTTATAATACAATTTATCTAATTTTAGTATAATTATATGCAGCAATATACTGAATTTTTCTTTCATATTGAACAATCGATTTGATAACTAGTATTATTAAGTTAAAAGTTTGACTAAGGATAATTTTTTTTCACAAGATTATTTGTAATCTCAACCTCCCTACTCAAAATTCCGGAATCTAACAAATAAAATATATAATTTACCGGAACGACCCAAAACGGGATAGCCCCTAGAATCTATGATAACTGGCGGAGACCTTGTAGTTCTAAGCTTCGCATCTCCAGACAGCCCTATCACTTGTATATCCAATATACTTGCAAAAGCAGTTTGAGCTCCGTTATTATCAAGATGACCTTGCCCTTCCTCGAGGCTATTAACCCTTGTGTGTTCCAAAGTAATGCCGGTTAAAGGATCTATGTAATGATGACTGTGAGCTGCCAAACTTCCCGGCGCACTATAAGCGCTGTACAAGGAAGAATCAAACATGGAAGGGGATGATAGGAGCCTCATTTGGGGTATCTTAATGTGGCCTCTTTGAATGTCCCCCACGAAAAGGGACAAGCCTCGAGAGGGCCCGAATAATAAAGTAACGTTGTATCTTCTGTTGAGTTCAAAGGCGGTCGCCGACAAGGTCCATCTGGCTTTAACGTGGGCGTGATCGTTGTCCAATATCGTATCACCATAATAACCTTGAATTCCTTCGTCAGGTTTTTTATCTTGCTGCCCTACTGTTAGGCTCAGGACATCGTTACTATATATGGCGGACACGTAAGGGTAAGAACCTTTGAGAATATCCCCCGAATTATAAGACGCCAAGAGATCGCCCCTCTGTGGATGAGTACTGGTTGTAATTGCGTCAGCGATTAAATCGTGCGAGTCGGTGTTAGCTCTTATAACGAGAGATATCTCTAATCTGACTTCCCTCTCGCAATGACTCAGATCTTTCCAACATGCGTCTCTCGGATCAGTACTCGAATCAACTATGAATACCTCAAAACGCTTTTTATCTTGTTGCTGTTGTCCATCGTGAGAGTATATTTGGGTTGAGGGGTCGTATTGTGTTTCTATACAAAATATAAACAATTAATGATAATATTATTTGATATTTTATAAATCTGAGTAATTTCTATTTGGATCTGATTGCTAGAAGGAAATTTTTTTAAACAAAAAAAAATACTAAATAGGAAAATGAATTAGCCGATTTTGAGGCAATTGATCAGGAATTTTGAAAAATATAAGTAACGATTATTTTCTCTTTCTTTCTCTCTCTCTCTCTCTTTCTTTCTTTCTTTTCCTTTTCATTCTTATTTTAATTCATTTTGGCCAGGAAGTTCTTTCTAGACTATGTCTTATGGTTTATATTTTTATTGTTATTATTTTTTAAACCTTTTATTTTTCCTTGTATTATTATTGATTAGTGTTATTTATTATTACAAAATAATATAACCTTGTTCCACTTTTAGCATTAATGATAAATTTTTTATATTTTAAGAATAAAATTTTGATATTATTGTAACAGACTTTTACAAATATATTTCTACTACAATACAAAGTAAGAAGATGGTAATCATTTTTTGAGAAAAAAATGTTTCAATAATTACAATTGTAATAATCTTCTTAGATAATTATTGAGAATTTTTTTTGTAACCCTATTTAGAAAATCTTTTTTGGAAAGATTCCTTTTCAAACCTGCCAATAATTCATTATAATTTTAAAAATTTTTTATGCAAAATTTGAAATTCTTTGTGTTCCATTATCCTAACCCAATAAAGGTTTATCACAAAATCAACATTTCCACACGACGAAATGAATTTTGTTATAAAAAAATCGAATTAGGTTTAACTCCCAAAAGTATAAGCCAAAAATATGGCTTGAAACCTAAAATAGAAAAATAAACAATTAATGAACCAATATCTATCCTTAAGCGCATACCTAATTTCGGTAAATAAAATTAATATATGTACTGAGCATCTCATAGTCTGGAATAAACTTAATCTCCATTAGGCATATTGAAATGGAAGTTCCCATTACTTAAATCATGGTTCAAGACAAAAGATAGTGGATAAAATAAGTCGTGTTTTGTTAAAATAGAATTACGAAAATTACTAGTTGCGTATTATTATAGCAACATTACTATGTAGAAAGGAATCAGGGCTATCAGACCTAATAACGGCATCTTTTAATGTTTCTTTTCTTACGTTTTTTATTTTAAAAATTTAAAAAAATTTTTCATTTCATAGAAATAACTATTTTAAGCATATAAAACAAGCTGTAAAAATGTTAAAGGCATTAGTGTTCTTTTTTCTTCAAGTATTTTCCTTTCAATTTAACATAAAAGAATATTATATAATTCGGTGATATCTTTAAATGTTTATATAAATTTTCTAAAAGTTTTTTTTGTTAAAAAAAAATATGTTTTATTTCTTTTATATATTAAGATCGAGACTTACAAAATGTGCCTAAATGATCAGACTAGTGTTGTTTAAATAAACGGCTAGACTAATATTATAGCCAAAAAATAAGACATAATCCTCGAGATTTTGTTAATAAATTCAAACATTTCTACCTTCTACGAGTAAAATTACCAGGCTTGTCTAGAATTCTTAGCTAACAAATTGGGTTAGCTGTTTTTAAAAATTGAGCCGTTTAACAACACTAGATCAGAGCCTCTAATATGAAATGGGCTTTGATTCTGCTGCCTATATTATTTTTTTTTTAAATCTAAGATACGTTTCATATCGTCGGTCTAAAATTGGAGTGCTCCACTTGCGCAAATGTTTAAAATGAGAAAATCAACATTAAAGTTAAAAACAAAAACTTTGGCAAAAATTAATATTTTTCAATCTAGTTTTTTATTTTATATATATTGGGTATAAATAAGTTATTATCCACTTCTAATTCAAAAATTTTGAAAATGTCGAGTGGAGCACCCTAATTCTAGACCGAAGATATGTCAATGAGAAAATGTAACGATTGGTATAAAATGATAATTAGTTAATTTAAAAGTATTTATTTTTTTATTTATGTCAGCTATAAGAATCAGGAATTAACATTTTTTTGGAAAGGAATAACTACATATGAAGTCTCAAATTAAGGATTTGCCAAGAGTAAGGTAATGGCGTTAAAACATTAATTTGATGATAAATTAGCAGACTCGAGAAAATGTTTGGTATTCTGGCCGTCGCAAGACTTTGGCTAATTATCGAATTAACATCTCTGTATGCCTTGAGTATTTGCCTTAAATATTATTTTAAAATATAATTATGCTTGTATTTTGGGGGGAACCCGTAGTCCCAATTCCGTTTTTTTAGAATGATTAAGTTTTATAACTTTTATCATCGTAATAATAAAAAAATGTTCAAGAGTATAAAATGACTATAAATTGAGATAAAAATATAAAACTTTATAAAATAATGTAATTCGGCCAAAGGCATTGAAAAAACATGCCTAAAAAAAATCCTTCAAATAAAATTTATGACACGCTTATAAATCTTGTTAAAATATATAAACTTAAAAGGTCAATAAAAGTTTGAAGCAAATTAAAAAAAACTGTTAATTGTTAATATAGTGTTGTTAAGGTCGATTTTTTAAAAACTGCCCGATTAAGATTAGCCAAAATAATATTATACAAGACCTCAAGATTAGTGTTGTTAAACGGCTCAATTTGAGCCGATTTTTATAAACGGCTAACTCAATATTTTATCCAGAAAACTATTATGCAAGATTTTGCTCATAGATGGTACATAGGATTGAACATCTATTGGCGAAATCTCGACGCTTAGGAAGTATTGAGTAAGCCGTTTTTAAAAATAGGCTCAAATGGAGCCATTTAACAACACTACTTAAGATTTGGCGAATAGAGGTCTAAACCTTTCTGCTACCTATGGGGAAAATCTCCAGGCATATTGGATAAATTCTTATTGTTAAATAAAATAACATTATCAACAAAACCAAATATAACACAATAAAATAAAGTATATAAGAGGTAAATTTATAATAAATCTATAGGTAAATTTTTTCCTACTTTATTTTTTTATTTAATTTTTTTTTTGAATATAAAATATCCAGAATTCAAAAAATAAAATAATTTAATAAATAAAACAAAATATAATATAATATTTTATAAAAGAAAATATGTCGCATTTGAAATGCGGCATTTCGTTCTCTCATGTGAGGTAATACAGTAAAAACTATTTTATTTTGGAACTTTAAAACCAATATTTTTAAAAACGTTATTTGGAAAAGATAATATTATTATCAATTTTAAAGAGAATTATATATTGTTAATTTTCTCAAATTGACTCATGTAAACCAAGAAATTTAACCAAATCAAAAGATTGTCATCTTTCTAAGCCTCTTTTAAAAAATAAATCAGAATGGACCAAGAAATGATACGACTTTAAAAAAAATCTAAGTCGGTCTTAAAAATCTGAGCCAGACTTTAAAAATGAATCCGGTCGGGCTTAAATTTAAAATCCGGGCCGACCCGGTTAGATAAAAAAAAATTTTTAAAAATAATTGTAGATTAATTAATAAGAAAATGTTAGAATATCTTATAATGGGATGTTTAATATTCATAAAAATTTCAGGTCGTGGCCATAAAATGATCCAAAAATAAAATTTGGGCTTGAAAGTTTCGATACCCGGGGGAATATTTGACTAATGCAGGTGGTGTCCCTGAACTAAATACGCTCGAGTAACGGACCCTGTTGAGTTGGACCAAGAATTTCTACATAATCCTAAGCCAATGACCATTTTACTTTCTATCCTCTAACCAAATCAAAATCAAAGAAAAGGGAAATTCAAATCAAAATTAACAAAAAAACAAAAGAAATCGAAAGAGGTCCCAAGTCAGAGCCTATCGGAAGTTCGTATTGAACCAACCGGATTTTTTATTGGTTTTGACCGGGTAACATAATAATTTTATCGCGGAAGGATTAAAATCCGACTTAAGTTTTAACTCCACCTTTATTTTTCAATCTGTATTTTTTTTTCTCGTGCTATATCAAAAGGAGGGGTTCCTCCAAAAATAAATTAGATAGGGGGTAGGGGGGGGCTGAGTCTCCTTTTAACTAAGTCATTTCAATAATTAGGAATTCGATATATCGCAATTAGCTTATTCAAAAACGAATATGCGAATAACGAATTGTTCGTATTCGATTCTTTCGAACAATTTACTATTAGTATTCGATTCTTTTAATCGAATAATTTACTATTCTTATTCATAGAAATAATAATAATGTTACAATTCTTAATTGTGGTGTTTGTTAAACGGCTCGATTTTTAAAAACGGCTAACCCAATATTTTAGCCCACAAAAAAAAACTTTAACCCAAGCCCCGTAGACTTTGTTCGTAGATGGCAGAAAGGTTTGGACATTTATTAAGAAAATTTCGAAGCTTGCATATAATAGTATTTTGACTAAAAAGATATTCAAGATTGCCTGAATAGAGCCATTTAAACAACACACTCTTTTTTTTGGAATAGACCAAAATTGTAATAGAATAAGAAATCTGTAATAAACGATTTATTTGAAAATAGAAGAAAACAAAAATTTATGGTATATTAGAACTTTTTTCAAACTAGTTGGAGAAAGTGTATAGAATTTTTATTAGCTTTTAAAATGATATTGGAAAATTGACAAATTTGCTTGAAGAAATTGAATCAATCACCACAAGCTCTTACGTCAGTGTGGTTTCAATTTGTCGTGGTCGTATATCATTAGCATAGGTGTATATATATATTTTATCCAAGTGGCAATATATTATTTTTCTTAAAGAATTAGAAGTGTATAATAAGATCCTATAATATAAAAATTTCCGAAAATAAAAGGATAATTAAAGTAAATTGGATCAATGAACTTTGGCAATTTCCTAAATTCATCTTTGTCAAGTGGCATTAATCACATAAGAAAGGAATATAAAAAAAACAATAATTCTGTTTAAATTTATATATATATATAAACTATAAATTATTAATTAATATTATTTATTATACAGTATAAAACTTATCTAAATTGGGCTCTTATTGCCTAATTTGACCAAAGTTTTGAGTCCCAATCGAATTCCTATTCACTACTATTAGAAAATTTATTTTAAAAAATCTTGATAAATAGAATGGATGTGTAATATGGGCAAAAATTTGGTCTCAAAAGTCCCCAAATTAGTCAGGTTTAATAAAAAAAATTATAAATTAATAGAATCAACATTGTATTTAATATTATAATAGCACACCACCTTCCGTTCATAATCCTTCGAATTATAAATATTAATTATTAATTTTTTTAAAATGACTATAATAATCACACTTTAAAAAAAAAATGTATTAAATTAAAATATTAAATTTTTTTTTTCCTATAAATTAATAATTAATATTGATTATTGGTGGTGTTTAAGGGGTTAATATTTTTCACGTGCTAAACGACAGGTAAAGAAACGGAGGAAATATTTTATTTTTTTAAAAAATTAAAAAAAATATATATTTAGGGTGAAAATCAATAAATAATATTAATTGCATAATTAATAAATTATTATGAAAATTAAATTTTTAAAATTTACAGTTTTCAATAAATGAAAATGTTTGAAACTGAAGGCTGGAAAATGGAAGAACTAAAAAATTTATGATGATATGAGATAGTTCCTGCAAGGCGTCCCGAAACTAATTAAATAAAATTATTTTTTGAAGGTTAGGAGTGTTAAGCTCAGATATCTGAATCAGAGGCCTTCAGAGCGCCGCTGACCCGCAAAGATCGGAAGCAAAATACCCCAGGCTTCCATTTAAGCTTGGGCTGGGGGCATGTTAAAAATTGAGCAGACCAGGCCGGACCTTGGTATTAAGCTAAAATTATCCATATTTTAAGGTGTGCGAGGCTCGAAATATATCAAATTTTAATTTAAAAATCAGTAACTCATCGTTAGAAAATAATAATAAACTCCTTTATATATAAAAAATAAGGTATTTAAAATCTAATACAATCTTTCTTTCAATTATTTTGTTTATAATTTTTATATTATTGAATATACAAAAAAAAAAATACACATTAAGGTAAAAAAAAAAAATAATAGTCTTTTTTTTTGGTGGTAAAATAAAAAATAAATGAATACATAATTTATAAATGAAAATTAGAATCTAAGTTCGACATAAAATATTCTATTTCTCATTTCATTAATTCTTAATAATTTAAAACAATAATAATAGGTAGAAAATGGCTAAAAAATCGTCCAATTGGATCTTAATATTAACGAGAATGCCGAAAATACAGGCCAATCATTAAAATTCATTTATGACTTTTTTAAAAGCTGAGTTTGATTAAGCTAATTTTAACTGGGCTTTTCTATAAAAAATCCATTATTAAAGACTTAAATGTATATTAATTTAAAAGTTGTTTCTTTCTTTTTACCTTTAACCTTAAATGAATATGGAACAACCGAATGAATCTCGTGCACGAAAGAATTTAGAAGTAATAAAATGAAAATAGATGCCAGTGGGCATGGATTGAATTTCCGACGAATAACGAAATCTTCGTGGTATCGATACGGTAAATATTTATTAACCAAATTCATTTTTTCATGATAAACCGGAGTGATAATGGGGTCCGAAAGATTACATTTACAGACGTGATAATATCTTTTGAAAGAATGAGAAGTTAATATTTTCACCGCATTTTTAATATTTTTTTAAAAAAAAAATTTTTTTATAATTATGGCACTTTTTTTAGGACATAATTCTGTTTTTTCTTTTAAAAAAATAATAAATATATGAATATATGGACCGGAAAAATTGGATAAATTAATTAATTACCAATTTTAAATAATTATGTTAATTATGTTTGACAACTTAAAATGTTATTTGTTCATAAATATTTTTAAAATTACCTCTTACTATTTATTATAACTACAGAAATACAAAATATAATATTTAAAAAAAAGTATATGTGTAAAATAATGGATGTTATGTAATTAGGATTTATTTTTAAAATATATATTTTTTTGGTAAAAAAAAATGAATTTTATTTTATTTTATTTCATTTTTATTATCTTATTTTTTATTATCATTATTATTATTTATCTATATATTTTTTTTACAAAAAAAAATGTATAATAAAAATAATTCATAAATCGTCAAAATCTAAATTTTTTTTTTTGTAAATCTGCGAAATTATAGCGAATTTTCTAAATTATTTTTAATTTAAATTATATATATTTTTAATGAATTTTAATAAATTAATTAAATTTATTTATTTATTTTTGAAAAAAAAAATAAAAAAATATTACAGCAAAAGCACGCTTTTGCAGGAAAAATTTTTATTAATGTGAAAATCAGCTGTGCAATTTTTTATTTTATTTTTCATATCAATTTTACATTATTACGTAAAGGGAAAAAAAAAGTTTATTATTTTTATGTTTAAGGTTTTTATTTACAAAATATTTGAAAAAAAAGCCATCAATTTTCCTAAAAAAGAAGAGTATATTTTTTTAAAATAGAAGTAATAAAAATGATCAATATACAAAGCAGAGATCTGTAGGCAAAGCCCTAACCCCGGTAGAATACACGGGGCCGTGTTTTAACATTTTTAAATATACCCGAGCCGGGTCCGTATATTTTAAATAGCTATTATTATCTATCAATAAAATTTTAAAAATAAGCATAATATATTTTTTTTAAATCGAGGCCGGCGTGCAAATGGTACCTCTGCAGGTCTCTTGATACAAAGGAAGAAAGATTTCGAATAATAAATTATTCGATTCATTCAAAAAAAGTCGAATAATTCATTCGAATCTTTTGACTAGGATTAATAATAATATACAGTAACGGTGATGAGGAGAATAGAATATGCGAGCAGGCAAGGTAATGGTGGGAATTTTTCTATTATGTTTTCTTAAGGTTTATATTAGAAAAGGGAACTAATAAGGAATTCGGATAAAATACCCCCGGCCCCCATAAAATGGTGCGATTTTAAAAATTTGAATCCGATGGTGGAATCACATCGTGCCTTAATGGGAGTTTCTTTTTCAGGTCCGACCTGATCGGATAAAAAAGAATTCTTGTCCGACCGAACGAATGCCAATTTTAGGCAAAAAAAATAACTTAAAATTTTGTCGGGTTCAAGTCTGAGAGAATATGTCCGTCCGACCTATGACCCGTAATCTAGTCGCATCGGTTCGAGCAGGGTTTTACATCAGTGGTCGGCGCAGCACCCCCCCCCCCCAAAAAAAAAAAAATCCGGGCTTGGCAGGACAACTTGAACAAAATATATTTTACGGGTAGAGTAAAAATAATACGCACATGGCTAGTCCGAAACATCTATCATTTGCTCCCTTTGTATCATTTTTTTTTTGTGTCTCTAATTAAAAATATTTTTCATTATTTTTTTATATTTATTTATTTTTTTACTAAATGCAGGAATGTATTTATTCAATACAGCACTTGTAAATAATTTTGTGCATATTTAAGAATTAAAAAAAAAGGTAATAAAGATAATAAAATGTTTCTCTAAGTTTATAAAATGATTAACTATACTATCACTAAATGAAGCACATTAAATAAGGTGGATGCGCAATCAATGCTAACTAAATTCCATTTATCCGAAATAAATCTAATAGCTGCCTCCTGGAATAAATGAAAGCGATTAAATTACTGAATTTTTTCTTTAAAATTATAAAATTTATAAATTAGAAATATATAAAATGTAATAATCAAATCAGCAACACTTTTTTTTGCCCCTGGAAGTGCTGAAAAAAATATATGGTTTCGATTTCCAAAAAATCAAGGATTAGAATATAGTTCTAACTTCTATCACTGAGGGGGGGATATGACACAAGATCGTCATTAAAATTGGAAAAATAGGTAGTTGTGAATAAATTAGCGCGCATTCGGGGTTAGGAGGTAGTTTTTATTTGAACTTCATTTTTCTGTTTATTTTGATTATGGGAGAGGGAAAATTTCCATCGGGTTAGGGGAAAAGTGTAGAAGTTCCTTTCTAAATCAACTATGGCGATATTTACTGAATGACCATGACCAGGAGTAAATCGAACTGACCCGTACCGGAATGAACTTTTATCCTTAACCGTAACTAAACCGGAAGGAGCTAACCGATTTAAACCAATTATACGCTGTAACTTAAGATCATATCTATGAGAAGTAACACTTTCGTATGGAATTTTTAATTATTTTTACATCGTTAATTTTTTTAAAAGTTCCCTTTATTTTTTGTTGGATTATATTTAAATTTAGTCAATAATAAAAAGTAAAACCTTTCACGATGATACAATTTAATATTATTAGTTAAATACTTTATTTATATTGGTTGGTGGGTTGACTTTAAAATATACATTATAAATTTACAAATATCAATTCTTACTTAATTAAATATTCGAAATTTTACACATATGATTGATTTATACGTCCTAAATATACATATTTAATATCAGTATTTCCCAATAAAATTAATTCCCGTTTTGAGTGCCCCCCTATATTATTATTTTAGGCTACTTTTAATTCTCTTTTTTAGTCATCTTTTATCTATTTTCGATGTAACTGTCTGTTTGTTATGTTGGTAAGATACATCTAAAATAGATTAGGAGGTAATGGAAAGTAAAAGTTATATTTTAAAAACAGATCTGGACATATGGGTAAATTAAATATGATATATAATTATTTTCAGATAACCAACCCTGAACCTTTTAAAAATTTAACCAACTGAATCTTAACCGAGCCGGAATTTTATATTTAGAAAATTTACCAGTTCGTAAATACCATTTCTAGACATAAATAAAAGGTATCCATCTACACCCCCCCCCCTCCTTCCTCTTACCGAAGTAGGAATAATTTAAAATAATGATTATAAATCAAAATTTTGAGAAAATCAAAGATATATATATTACCTAGACTGACGATTCATTCATTAAAATGCATTTTTAAGCATCGTTAAAAGCAAATCAGCTGGACCCGCCATTTTGGTAACCCATATGGTAAATATTCTCTTATTAAAAACTACGATTAAATTGATAACTTGCTTCCTTATTGTCTCGATGATCAGTCAATTCTTCAATAAAGTTTGCCCCAGACATAGGAGAAAAATTGGCCTTTCGTTTATAAACGGGTAATCAAAATGGCGTCCACAGCTGTTTTCATCGAGGTACACTTTTAAATGAATGCATTGTCAGTCTAGATATTGTTATATGTCTTTGGGCAATATAAAAATACGAAGATCTACCTCTAATAATTTTTACATGGACCCTGGTTATATACTACGTAATTTAAAAAAGTAACTTCTAACTTAAATCGTTACTTTTCAAAAGTTATTTATAAATAAATAACACTGTGATTTTTTTATTTTAATAATTTTGTCAGTCATTAAAAGTATTTTTATATTATTGCCAAATAATATTTATATTTTTTTTTAAAAAAAAATTTAAATATATATAAATAAAATGAAATAATTTAAATATAATAATCGATTCACAACTTTTTTTGATAAATAGGTTTATGTAACGATGTAATGAATATCTGATTTATATTAACAGTAAAAATTTATTTATTTATTATTTTACCTGTTATATTTATTTCTATTATGATTATTTACTTAAATTTGATAAGATGTTTATATATATATATATATATATATATTATATTTGTTTTAAGAAGTGTTTCTTTTTAATGATAATTTGTTTATATCACATATTTTTCTCCCCTTAAGGTTGGGTCTAAGCGAAAGCAAAATCTTATCTTGGAGTTTTGATTCCGAATTTAAATATATTTCCAGGGTTTAAAGTTCTGATTCCAAAACCCTGTTGTAATAAGCAAGTGGAAAAAAATTAAACAATAAATCAAACCCTCTAAAATGAATCACTAGACATTTTTTAAACAATATTATATTCCATTTAAGCTACCACGTATGTATTTTGGAACATTTTGAAATGTATCTTTATTCAGTTGCAGCGAAATACATTTTTTTTTGAACTAGAATTAAATTTTAAAATACTCAAAATTATTCTTTTCCAAATAATAAAATTTACTTTCTAATTCATAATTCTAATCAATGATATTAATAATAAGAAAATATAGTTAATTTATTTTTCAACGGCATTCACTTTAATTTAGAAATAAATTTTTTAAAAAGTAGAAGTCATGAGGAAGTAACTTCTAATATATAATGGTTGTATAAAAATGAAGAAGAAAGCATTTTATATACAAATATAACAGATAAAGATGATAAATCTAGAAACAAATGGTGCAAAAAAAGTATAAATTTATATTGAATATTATTATGGCTTATCCATTATATTCAGCCTAAAGATTCTGCCATTCTAGATGCTGCATTTTTTTTAAGATAATTGATAAGAGCGGTTAGAATGATGAAACAAGTAGAATGTATTTCATGCAAGGCCCTCCCCTATACCTCCAAAAAAATATATTCGGAGTACTTTTCATTCCACAGTGTAATTAAAATTTTTTTTTTATTGTATTCCATTTTTAGAGAAGCCAATTGAAATAATATTGACCTTTAAGTACTTCTGTACATACAAGATTCGTCATTCGGTATCGGAAAATATAAGAAATATTTCTAAAAAACAATACAATATTATGTGCTATTTTCATTCGTAGGATTGGTAATTTACCCATCACGGACGGTATTAACACACATAATTTTATATTAAATGGGTTAGATTAT